TATCCTGGAAAGGAATCAGAACAATTCCAACATATTGCTAGACGCGATCGATCGTAGAGGGCGAAGACGGATGACCGTCTGTTTAGTATATTCGTATATGTATAAACGTATTATACAGATGTTATTAAAAATGTCGCCCGAAGTAGGGAGCGCAGATTCGACGCGATTTAACGGTTTATCCTTTTTAGTATCAACTAAAGTAATTAAGACTAACAAAATTTATGTATGTCAATCAATAATTGATATTATATTTTCAGCAATGATTGATACACACGTTAGGCTCACTGCTACACTGAATCATTTATTTCAAATCAATGAAACTCAAATATGAGATTCTTTTTACACATAAACACAATGTACATATATCATAAATATTTCAAAGTAGAAAACGATTTTCTGTATTCTATAATTTTTTTACGTTTAATATTCGTTACAGCTACTTTATTTACCGTTTCACATATAATGACCTTGTCCGCGGGCACTACACAAACACAAATTATACAAAAACAAATGAACTTAACTTTATTACAATGTATTATTGATTGTTAATGACTTAAGGATTTCGCAATTGACTCTATACTCTTTCCCACTTTCAATCCGTTTTTGTTAGAAACGGCAAACTAACATCATATGGAACTATCAAAACTAGTAATAGAACGATAACAACCATCTAAAACACGTGAGTTCTTTGACTAGTCTACGACTATCGCCATTTTAGCCTACTTTAATGAGAGTCCGTTATAGAGGTCGACGGGATGCTTGGAGCTAACACAAACCGGTAATTTGCCGTTAATAGCGGCCATCTTTAATTCACGTCATAATTATTTAATATCTATTCCATGTCGCGCCAAAAATTTAAAGTATTAAGCAGCTGTTGGACCCCATTAAGGCGTAATAAGTAACTCGCAAGCTGTTCTTAGCAACGAGCTCTATTGCAGTATTAAGATAATAATTGTAGGTATTAAAAAAAATAATAGAATGGTTGAAATATCCTGTTCGATAACATTATAAATGACGAGCCAATTCAATACTGCTCGACTTTAAGACGGAAAACCTATAAAAGACAATGGGTTCAGGGCAATTAATAATGGTTGAAAAATATTGATATAATCTATGGAAGAACTTGTGTCGGCTAACTCAATCCATTAGAAAGAATTATCAACGCCATTTGCGGCAAAAACACGTATCCTAGCCACGTTATTGGCATACTCGTAGTTGAATCATCTAATATTTTTTTCCGTGAGAACGCGCAATAGTTTCAATATAAAAAGCTAACAGATTTAGGCTGAGGCAAAACAAAAAAGAGTATAATAGCCTTGGAAAACAAAACAGTCACGGACATCAATATACACTTGCGAAGGTCTACAGATATGGCTTACGTAGGCAGAAACAATTTGAAATGGATAATTGGCATTTTTTAATTGACACGAAATCGCTGATCTTAAGCTTATGGCTTAGACGTGTAAAATAATAAAGGTTTACATATATAGAAACACAATTTATACCATTCGCCTAAATGTACTTTAGACTACACAATATGACAACAATTAATCCTCTTAGAAGGCATGATTTCTTATTCCTGTTATTATTTTACAGTTTGATAAAATGTACATATGACTATTTTTGTTCTGATTAGTATCAAAGACAAACAATAAAAGAAACTTACTAATTTTTATGTCTTTTATAAAAAAAAAGCTAAAGTATATTTTGTCATAACTGCATAAACTAAGATATATTCAGATAGAAATCATACTTTAAAATAATTTATGACTTAATTATTCTCTACACTCATACACATTTATTTAAGCGGCGTTGCCCTAACTAATAAATCATTCCAAAAGTCATTCGCTTAATTCCATGTTTTAGTGCTATTTAAAAAAAATTTCCTCGTTACAAACTGAACTATTTCTATTTTCATGGTTACGCGTCTAAACAAGGTCGCTTTTAACTTGATACGATCTCTAAACATCTAGATTCGAGACAGCCAACCTCATAAAACTTTTGTAACGATATACATAAATATATTGTTCTGTCTAGACGCAAACCAATTACGTCCCGGCGTAGGAATCGTTTTGTTAGTTCCGTAATGGCCACATCCGTATTAAAGCTTTGTTAGAAAAACTTCTAATTTATTGAACTTAACAAAAATATCCCATTCATGCCTGGCTCTGCCTTTTATAAGATAGATACTGAACTATTTACTACTCGCAAAAATAATTATAACAATAAAAATTACCACAACTTTAAAATTTTGCTCAACTCAAGCTGTCTATATGTTATGTGCTCTATTTTTTTTTAATTATTTTCTTATTTACATTTAAACTCAAATAAATTACTTTCCCATTTTTATATTTTGCAATAGAATACATTTAAATTCTATACAAAATAAAATAACTACGAATTAAAACAAAACTTTTTGCTTCAGCTGGACACAGGACTTACAAGTGATTCCCCAATTTGCATCATCCCTCTGGTCAAACACAATTATACATGCGCACACTCAAATTAAAACACGGATTAAAATAACGCATATCATACTCCCAAGACCACTGACGTTTTGTTTATAAACTAATGAAAGCGTAGGCGTCAGAATCGATGAGTTAAATTGATTCTCCTATTAGGTATAAGCCAATCACTTAAGATGCCACTTTGCGATATTAGATTATATAATTCAACGAATTGTTTGAAATAAATGTAAAGCTGCAATGAATGCTTTATATGAGAATGTTGAATTGCTTTATATGAGAATGTATAATTGTGGAACTAACTAACGGTATAGAAACAATTTCCGCGAAGTCGACAAAAAATGTAGGCCAGTCGAAATCCATTGATACTTAGCTTCTAATCAATGATTATAAAATACCTATTATAGTATGAAAATTAACATGTTAACGGTAGTGTTAACCATCAAACGAATACTAGAAGGTAAGACAGGACGTAGTAGAAATAGTAGCAAATTTTTCATCATCATCATCATATCAGCCGTAGGACGTCCACTGCTGAACATAGGCCTCCCCATTGACTTCCACTTCGACCGGTCGTTAGCGGCCTGCATCCAACGCGTCCCTGCGATCTTTACTAGGTCGTCAGTCCACCTTGTTGGAGGCCTTCCTACGCTGCGCTTGCCGTCACGTGGTCTCCAATCGAGAACCTTTTTGCCCCAATGGCCATATGTTCTTCGAGCTATGTGCCCTGCCCACTGCCACTTCAGCCTGCTGACTCGCTCTGCTATGTCGGTAACACTAGTTCTCCTACGGATCTCCTCATTTCTGATTCGATCTCGTAGAGAAACCCCAAGCATTACCCTTTCCATAGCGCGCTGTGCGACCGCGAGCAAATTTTAAAGCAGCACTTTGTGCCTTGAACTCGAGTAAGATACTCCATCCACTACTACTAAGTCTATAACCTAAATCTAAATTAAGTAGAAAAAGAGCGATTTGTTATCACACAATAACATGTTTGACTTCAATTTACTATTATATATCTAGGCCGGTATAAATATTTGGTGGTGCTTGGCAAATACCTACATAGACGATAACTGTGTTTGTGAGCCATATCGTATTATTACGTTTGAAATAAATTGTGAACGTAATTAAAAAATCGATACGTCGGTGTTTATTACATTATTACCCGATTGGCGTAACGGATAGTGAACCTATCTCTGGCGCCAAAGGGTGTAAATTTCAATACTACCACCCACTACTGGAAAAATATTGTGTGAAAAACATAAAGTTACTCTGGTGTCCAGGCGTTTACATATAAACAATATGTATTAATTTACCAAAAAAGTAAGTAATTATCAGTTACCTAGTATCCACAGTGCATACAAGCTGAGCTTTATTCTAGATAATGTTGTGTAGAAAGGTCCTGAAATATTTAGTGTTTCAGTTTATTTTTGTTTTCTGTGGAAAAATCCACTAATTTAATAGAAAAATCTGAATATTAACATATTCTTTTATAACATAATATAAGGGATGCTGTTTTCTTTTGTTTCCATTATATAGAATAGCCTGGGATAAAGCCACACACTAGCTTCTGCTGTTGCAGAAGATGCGTCCGAGAAATCACAATGGGATTCCCGCATCAAGTGGTATTATACTCTTGATGGTGTTTCGTGTTGTGATTGAGGTTACCTATTCACTCCCGGTCCATTCTTTTAAAGGTTTGCAATGCATTTGTGACCCCACATATTCTGTAATATGATGGTAATCAGGAAGATTTGTCAGTTTAACCTCTTGCTTGTTTGCTACCGTCTCTCATTGACAAGAAAACATTAACGAAAATGGTCAAAATTCTAAAGTTCATTCTCTACGCAATCAATCGAATGAATCTAGTCAAACTCGTCTATGCACTCAACGTAAATGTACGAATAGTAACAACATGAATTAAAATAAAAAAAGGAATATTCAAAAGGCCTATTCACTGGACATAAATGAATGAAAACGATTTCCGACCAATTCCCACAGCTCACAACAGGAAACCTAGATTAAAAAAAAGACTTTTTACAACAATATCACCTTAATGATTCAGGTTGTACTACCTTGAATTAACAAGTCAGTCGACAACCGTCGGTACTGAGGCCCGAAAACGTTAGCTAAACAGCTAAACTTAATTGACAGGCCCATACTTACAAAAGAAGCATTACTGCAGATTCAAACATTATCCGACAAAGAATGAAATACGACTGCACTGCAAAGCATGTGCCGTATGTAATATTCTAGACAATTTCTCGCATTCTTGAGAAAATTTTAGTTACGCCAGTTATCTCATCCGATTTATATCAAATTAGGACATTAGTAAAGAGGTTGTGACTGAGCTAATGCGCTAACCATCGAAGAGTACATCTTTGTATATTGCCATCAGATGGAACCGTAGTCAAGTACTGGCCCGTTTTTGGAAAAAACCTCGAATGCCAAACAACAGCGGAAGATTACTATTTCTTAATAAGGCATTAAGACGACTGTTCTAAATTCGAATCATTTAGCAGTGATGTCACTTACATTCGAGTCCCATTCGATTAGTTAATTGCTCGAAGCCGTTCACGGTGCCATCTGGCCTACGGCAGGACTTGAGGAGAGTCAGGAAGTCGTCGCAGATGCTGTTCAACTCCGGCAGGAAACCTTGCATCGTGTGAGGGCTGGTGAGCTCGGAGGTGAGGTGGCGCCGCAGATGGAACCACTTTTCACCTTGTCTGCGAATAAACGGGGCACAAACAAATATTAAAAATAAACCCTAATGAATATTCAAACCAAAGTAATGTAATACATATGATATAATATTAAGTAGTCAATCTTGTAAGTGCCACAAACATTCGAGTATGAGAGTCGTGTATTGAGATCATTATTTAATAATTAACTAACCTAAGTGAGTTGACGTAAGCTTTCCGGACTTATGCAACTCGAGGACTCAAAAAAGTGAACCGTAGGTGCTTTTGTTACTCATGTGCTGTGCGAATGTTATTCAGATATACTGCTGTTTCGTTGGCCAACTATTTCAATGAAAACGCACATATTTCATTATCAGCTTCCGACTTAATAGACCCTGTTACAAAACCAATCTATGCACCTAACAAAAACAGCATGACAAGGGCGTGTTCGATCACCATTAGTCATGGCCAAGACACATGTTAAGATGATTCTATTACCTTCTTATAGAATAAAAGCTAAACTAAAAGGTCTAAACTCAATTGAATGATTAGAATTCGCATAAAAGTAACAGCCTATACATGTCCCACAGTTGGGCAAAGGCCTCCACTTAAAGTTAAAAACTTCATTGGTGCCGGCACCGGGGATCGAACTCAGGTTGCTCGAGTATATTGAATTAAAGGCGAGCTCCCTGACTTTGGGCTATCACGGTCCTTTATCTCAGAATTCGCATAGAAATGCGAAATCCTGACGCGTTAACTCATTCATACAATGATGACGTACATATCGATCGATACGGAAATTAGATTTTTATCTAGTTGGGGAATAAATTTAAATCCCATCCCATAGTGCTCCAACGAACAATTAATGCGGCAATCAGTAACGGTGAAAACCTCTTTGTCTGTTCACGGGAAATTCACATTGACAACATGGCGTCTATGCGCGTTGCTCGGTAAATTGTAACCGGCAAAATCTGATTTCCCACCGCTCTAGGCGATGGAACCCGTTTCGCTATCCATCCCGTTAATCCTGTTACTCCCGTTAACACCACACAAGTCGCCTCGGCTTCGACCCAAAAACACTCGGGCGAATGTACCGTTCGCACCACGCCCGTAGCGTCACATTACAATCGCGAAAACTATTGCCAGCCTAAACAGTGTACGCACAATGGGATCTTATCGCGCGAACAAGTCCTTTGTTATGGCTATTTTATTGTTCGCGATTTGGGCATACCGTAGCAGGAAGTCAACTAGTTAGGTATTCGGGGCATCGTAGAAAAACGCGTCCCGACGAGAACCTTCGCGAGATACGTGACCGGAGAATATAAGGCCTCCACAAAATATAAATGTTCTCAGTTTGGTTGTCTGGGTATTTGCCCCTCGCAAATTTTACGTTCATTTTTTTTTAATTACCCTTTAGGATTAGGATAACACTATCCTGTGTTGTAAGGATGTTTTACATGCATAAATTTCACGAGGACAAACACCCAATTCATTGATCATTTGATTGGAGTACCTTATCTTATCTATTGTCGTGTGCCTGCTTCTTGCCAGCATGTAGATGGCCTTCAAACAAAAACACAAGAATCTGAGTCGTACTTTAGAAATGTATTGAATGTCACGAAGCATTTATGTAAATGGGTGAATAGGATTTCGAATATACGGATATATTTCAGGATTTTAGTAATTACTATAAATAATTCAAACGTTTCTCAGTTATATATGTCTAGAAAGGTGCTTTTAAAGGAAATGGAAACCTTCAAACTGCTACACCTATTGGTACTTAATTGCAAAGTACGGAGCCGTGAAGAAATATACTAGCTTAATATGTGTCACATTAAAATTCATTTTGGTCGCTGCTACAATCGTAACGAAGGCAAGGTCACTCAGGGTACGATCAACAATAGAATATTTTTGCTAAATATAACACGACAAACACCATTTTGTTCGTTTTACAATGAAGAAATTTGAAAAGAGCAAATAAAAAATCTTAGTATTCTTTTCTATAATAGACGCACGCGAGGATACCTGATCGGATAAGCACAAACAAGTTCCAAGTATATTTATACCTTCTGATTTCCTCCAATCATACTGAATTACCCATCTACTGTATGAAACCACACATGCTCCTAATAACAGCATTCTAGATTGCCCACCGTAAGTTTATGTGTTTCAATTGAATGGAAATTATGTTACGTTCTACAGAGGAAGTGGAACATTAATATATGGCTATTTGAAAACGGGGTTATAAGGAATTGAATTATAACATTAAATCACTATGGATTACGATAATAGAAACAGGTAACGCTTTATACCTTTCCTCTAACTTCCTTTAAGCGAAGTTTACGAGTTTATACCACCATTACTTCTTACCTTGCATGCATTGAAATATGAAAAACAATGTTTATAGTCAAAAAGTTGTAGAAATTCTGAAAAAATAATCTCCTGTCAGGCAATCAATTTATAATTCGCCGTGGTTATTCCTCTGATGATGCCGTTTTACGACTAACTTCTATCTAACATGTTTATTAACTATGTAGATGCAGAACATATGGGTGTAAGATAGTATTTAAACTATGGATTAAATACCATAATTCTGACAGAGAACAAAGTGTAGGAGAAAAGGAAGAATGTTGCGTGATCCTACCACAGACAAATCAACTAGCCAAAATTACTTAATTGGTTACACCATTTTGATTTAAGTTTAACGGAGAATCTTTTTTTGGCTCTACGGTGACTCACTATGAGACTATTAAACACACACTCACGGACATACCACACAACACACACAGTTCTAAACTATCACCTACAGGGCTTCTTATGATTATACATTTTTTTAAGCAATTACAATTATTTTTGTAACCAATAAACTAATTATTATTAATCGTTCTTTGCATCCTGCATAGAACACAAACATGCTCAACAATCCACCAAAGCCTCATTCAACATCCTAGAAACTCCTGAATTACTTGAACACGCAATAGAAGCAAACTGAGATTACTAGTACTTGGGCGTAACGTTCTACGAGGAATATGGCTACAGATGCTAGACATTCTCAGTAGATTGAAATAAGAGTAATTTTCTCTTAATAAAACGGTCTCCTTATAAAGACTGAGACTCCTAAATAAACTTTACTGCAGACTTAAAATATATATCATTGGAAATGTTTATTAGGCATGACCTATGTTTTTACACAAAATATTTTAATAAATACAATAAATTACATTGTTCCAAAGGTAACAAATCACTTTAGAAAGTTTTGCTAAAATATTTACTAGGTATTCAAAAAACAAAAACGATGTGTCTATCAGTAATTGTAAAAGACAGTACGATTTATTAAAAATTACATGCACTTATTAAATATTTTAACCCAGAATTACAGACATTTAAGCATGTTTTGTATTTACTTCTTTGATTAATAGACCTGTATCGTTAAGTCGTTGTGGCATTGAAACATCTTTCACCTATCACGGAATTGTGCTTTGAAGTTGTTAATAAAGACTTATAAACATTATGTTTTTTGCAAAGATGCATCGCGTCAAAATAAATGAAGAAACTTAATGCTACTTTATATATTCGAATAAAAACTCCTGTAATAAGTCTCATTAAACAACAATTTGGAATCTCTAACTTTAATAGGTTACCAGATATTGCAACCTTAAACGATTGAAATTCCTTGCGTAACTTATAGTACTAATTGTGAATTCAACGATTCAAAATGTACAAGTGGCATTTATGTAATTAAATATTCCGCTAGTGTTAATACAAATAAATTTAGTTCTAAATCTAAAACGGGTGCTACGAGTTTTATTTCTCTTCTTTGTATAAATTTTTACCTACGTAGTTTATGTGTTTATTTTACATAGATAATATTTGATCATATATTCATTATTAGTAGTTAAACATGCGACGGTAAATAAAAATACTTAAACGCATTTTAATTTATAGGTTACTTTGTTTGACCCGCTTATCGAAACTGTTCCGTGATTTGTTGAAGGGTATGTTTGCTCATGCTATATTAAGAATGTTTTGTGATTATATTACGATTTATTGTCTTAACATTGCACTTAATACCATCTAAAGCTTTATCGTCTGACATTCTTTAATTACCGTATATCGTTCACGATCGCGGTTTCTAATCACAACTCTATTTTGTGCTGAGTTGTCATTAAGAATCCATTAAAGATCTAGGTATATCTTATATACATCTTATTTTTATTGTTATTTTCATGCTCACGCTTTAAAGTATCATATTTTATCCGTTGCTGTATTATTTCTGTCATTTAAATCTAAAATATTTCTAAAATTCTCGCTTCGCCGACGTTTTGTGTCAAGATCGACAACCAGGTATTGACTTTTTAGGAGCTCGTCAGCTCGTAAGCCTATTTTAAGAACAAATATCAACTGTAACAAGAAACAGCACCGGTTTCGTAATTAGAACTGCAACTAAATACATTTGATAGACTACGTATGGCGCATTAGCAACCAGATACGGCAAATACGACGCCCGAGAAAACCAAGCTGAGTACAGGTCACCCTTAGCAGACACCATTGTAGATAACCTAGATCATATCCGATTGGGAGGGCCAGTACCAGCCATTTTAAATTAGGTACGCGTTTTCCATCTAACACTGAAATATGTTACCGGAATATTTTATGTGGTCTGAGAACTTCTTAGTTAATATAAAAAGTAAATTAACAGCTAACATGTCCCACTGCTGGGCAAAGGCCTACATTGCATAGTGTTAGGGCCAAAGTCCACGCGACCTCACGGTGGATTGGAGAATATATCTTCGAAATATTCATTTTTTTAACTTCGAAAATATGCAGGATTACTAACGATGTTTTCCTACACCGCTGAACACGTATTAAGACAGCAGTTATAATGGTATTAACAATTTCATTTACGCCGGCGCCGGGATTTGAACCCCGGTTTCTGCAGAATTACAAGCGATCGACCCGGAGAATGAGCTTTCACGGCCATCAGAACTATATTACCTTACAAAGATAGAGTAGGTATTTAACAAAACTGGATGAAAAATGGATGTTGCTTCGGGTAAATGTATGTAAATGAACAATTTTAATTTAAGTCCATATATATACTAGTCGCCCAACCGAATGGTCACGGTAACAAAGAAAGATATTTTAAGTCTTCTTCGCTATCTTTAATTTAAACAAATTTTATATAGATGACACGGCATTATCATAAATTCTTTATAGTAATTTTTATATAAAAATATGAAAACGAAGAATTATGACGTGACGACCACCTTTAAAGATTAATACTAGTATGTTGTGATATGAATATCATTGACTTATCATCCAGTGCGAACATACGAATATCTATTACATAGTTGTTTGCCGACAAGTTTGAACACAACGCTAAGCGAAAAATAAAAATGTGTGGACTCAAACAAAAAGAGAAACCTGAGTCCCGAGAGATTTGAGCTTTATCGTAAGAACTGATGATGCTGACAATCGGTTTGATTCTATAAAAACTAAACAGTAAAAATGAAGCAGTTATTTGTTGCTACATACTAATCCTGAACTCGCGTAAATAATTTATTAAGTAAATAGTAAAAAAAAAGCAGATATAATGTGCTGCCCAGGACATTATTTCTCTGTCTTCCGTTGAATGGATAGGCCGTAGGAAGTAATCGGGGCCGCTTCAAAGTTGACAATGCCACTTTCACTAACGACCTGGTTAACCGTCAAGTCGCTTGGCACATCGCGAAAAAGCGAAGCATGTGCGAAAGCATTCCTGTGGCCCCGCTGATATACGCCCCAGGTGAAACCAGGTGAAACATCGTTTGGGGTTTTAGTCGGCGCGAGTCGAACAAAACCCAACCTTGCCCTCGCGAGTTATGGGTAGGCAAGTCGTCCATTCTAACAAAAAAAAAGAATGGCACGGATACAAAGAGATCGATTAAGAAAACGAAAAGTACTAACTCGTTGACCAGTCCCGTCGAGGCGTATCGGTCGGGTCTGCTCTTGCGGTAGACCTCCACAATCTCCGTGGGGGGCCGGTAGGGCCTCTTGGCCGGGGTACGGAGCACCGCCTCGAGCGCCGCCCTCTCCGCTATGGACACCACTGTGGCGCCCCCAGGCGTCGTCTCCGCGAACACCGGCCCGTATCGCCTGAACATATCTGCGTGCAAATCTCTCATTGTGACGGCTAGGGTGATGGTAAACCGAGGACCGCCATCGCGTCTCATTCACTTCAGCACTTAAACTTTTCGCCCTTGCAATTGGGATAACAGAAAGAAAATTTAGATTATTTTTTTTTTCGTTAGTTATTAAATATCTCAAGCTGATTCTGGAGTCAACGCTTTCGCCTTTTTCAATTATGTTGCATATTTAATATTTTAATTTTTACTTATTAATTCCTTGAATATTTTCAGAATATAAATACAATATTTACAACAGTACAAGTAAAAAAAAAACAGCTTTTAGGTTTTATAGAGGACAAGTTAACGCTGAGCAAAAGTTATCAAGAAGAAAAATAACATTGTTAAATTTATGGTATATAAGTCCATGATCTTTATTTTCGTTTCAATTGTACTTATAAATTTGCAGTCTGCCAATTTGGACCTTGATGGAAAACTAAGGACCTTATATCCTGATCTGATATCTGTAGAGATAGGTCCTCACCTTCGTAAGCTTCGTGCAGCTTGTTCATCCTGTAGCGGCTCCAGAACAGCCATCTGGTGCCGAGGAATGGCAGCGCCGGTGGGCCGGGCAGCCGTGCTGGACGCTTGGTGTCCGAAGATCGCGCCAAAAGGGCTGTAGCCGCCGCCACCAGTGCCACCACGGCCAACACCAACGTCGGAACCCCAGACCAGTCCACGAGTGGTGGAGGAGCGCTCTGTAGGCAGAAATGAGCATATTTAGATTCGTAAAGATTGAGAATGCCAAGCGAGCTGGCGGTTCGCCTAATGTTAAGCGATAACCGTAATCCATGGACAGTTGCATCACCCTTAGGTCTGCAGGCGATTGTCACCTTTTAACCTGTTTTCTTTGAGGAGCCGGAGCCCAATTTTCAAAAGGTTGTCAACGCATCTGTAACCCTCGGGTGTAGCAGATGTCCATGGGCGGCGGTATTCTCTTAACATCAGGTGAACCGTCTGCTCGTTTGACAACTTTTCGCATAAAAAAAAACAGGTCGTGGTCCTTCTCCGGACGGACCTGCCCATTCGTGCAACGCGAAGACTGTTGCGCGGCCCTACCAATGTAAAAAATTTATTTATTCCCCAATAGCTTAAAAGCTTAAACTGCTCTATGCTTTATCCCTGAATTGTTTAAAAATTTTGTGAAGTGTGTTTTTCGCGATTAAATATAAAATTTGTTTTCATACTTTTAGTACCTAATAGGTAATGTCTAAGTCATGAGTTGTTTAAATAATATTCCCGTTCTTATCTCCTCTTAACAACGGACTGTAATATCGAATGGAAATTAATTTAAATACACGTACACAGCGTATACGCCCCTAACAATTTGTTTACTAGTATCATTTGATTTTCACGAAGCTACATTTTATTGTAAAAAGGCTGATTATTAAAAACAAAAAAAATCTATTATTTGTCGACAATTGGCATTCGAACTCCTTCAATGAAATTTGTTTTTATTTATTAATAAAAATAGAAAATAATTATATTTTGCCATATTAAGCATTGAGGCTTAAAATTAGTTACATTTCAATAGTCATGACTCGGTGATACATGATTTTGTTATCCAATTAACTGAATTTTAGCGGCAAACTGATCACCGACCATGAACACACACGCACCGCAACGCCAGAGGTTTTTTTTATGTGAGAAAGTGGCAAACGAGCTGGCGGTTCACCTGATGTTAAGTGATAACCGCCTGCCCATGGACATTTGCAACACGCGTAGAGTTGTAGATGCGTTGCCACTTCTTAATGAAGTGGGCCCCGGCTACCTCACTCACAGGAAACACAGAAGTGTAACACTTCTACTTGACACCGGTCTTCTGTGAGGTCGTCGTACTTACCCGAACAGACCTGCCCACTCGTGCAACGGCAAACACTGTTGCGTGGCCCTACCACCGAAAATCGCCTTGTCGATAAGTAAATAATAATGCACAAGGCAAATGCAGTAGCATAATTCATAAGTACACATACAAATTGTGAACATATTGCATCTTGGTGAGGCGCTCCGTTTACGTATAAAAAGCATGCGTTGCGTTATTCCGTTGCATCGCTGTAACACGACGACGTGTTATAACTGTTGCACTAGACACACGAGTCGCGTCATCCATCCGCACCTACAATCGCATCATTCACCCTATCACCGTGCGAATTTATGAATGGGCTCAACGCTTGGTGTCTTTGTTTTTTTTTTTGGTTGTTTTTTTTTCAATCCACGCCATCCAAACCTGAACGCGTCTGCGACTGTGCGTTTCGTTTGCTATCGCGGTCGTCGACCCCGCTCTCGACTCTGCCCGCTGGCCGTCGACGCTCTTGACATTGGCTTTGCGTAACTGTCAATTACGTAACGCGGCGCGGCTTTACGGCATATGCAAGCTACGCCCCAATAACTGCATCAGCAGATTAGCTTCGCGGCAGCTCGCAAACGTCAAATATTTATTACGAACGCCATAAAATAAAACCCAGTCTCTTAAGGATTATACCGCACACGTGCGTATAAACGAGTATTATTTTAAACGAAATTATTTTGCAATCGAGCCTAATGCAAATGTCATGAGAACTATTCTCCGGTGTCACCCAAAACCTTTGTTGACTTTTTTATTACTGGCTATAAATTTGCTATCATCCCAAATGTTACGAATTACGATGCATCCGTTAGCAATAGACGCACAGCCTCTAAAACATTAAATTTTTTGTAGTGATCTCTCCCTATAAATAAATCTGCAATTGAAATAATTTTCTTATATAAAGTAGTTGTAATATTTTTAAAAACGAAAAAAGAAACCATAGGCATCAACAAAGAAAAAGAATCATAACTGCGCAGTACATACAAGTACATACTTCTTCCGCAAAACGATCTCTGAAAGATATATCAGCTTTAAGAAAGCCAAGAACTCGTATTAAGTATTTGAGCAGTGTAAATTTATTCATCGAGCAGACCTGTCACGAAGCATTCGGCAATTCTATTAACGGGATCTTTCATAAAGAGCTGTTTCATAACACCTGATGACGGCGACTCACAGCACCGAGAGTCGCCGTCACCTTTCGCTAATCGCCCGGTTTGATAGGCAAATGGCGGTTTAGTAACGGAACACGGGCCGGCGGACCGTTAAGCGATAAACAGTCAGAAGTTATGCGGTTTGTTTTGTTACACGATTTTTATCTTTCCCCGCGTCGCAGAGGACACAATCGGAGGCCATTTGTACTTTTTGACGATCGCGAAGCTTTGGGGGCGTCCATTAATTACGCGTGGCGTTGGGAGGAGGGGGGTCTCTCGTCTAGAGCGGGCAGTCTTGGCAAATATCACGTTAATATTGTTTGTCTAAAAATCCAAACCAAAAAAAAAACAGATTAACATTAAAATACGTGTTTTACAAGTATCGGAAAATCGATGAAATCGCCCCACATAATTAATCTTTGATAATATACTTGTCTAGATGGATCAATGCTTAGCAAACGACGCGCTAAAACTGTCTCCGATTTCGTGATATGTGTGAGTGCTGCTCGTGTACTTATTGTAAACAAACTGTCAAGGTGTGCGTGTTTAGAGATGCCCGTTATTAACGTATCATTAGTCCTAATTATTTAATAAGGTGAAAGTTAAACAAAGTAAATTAAATAAAGTAACTATTTTGTAGATTAGTAGTATTATATATGTTAATAACTACAAAAAAATACAATGAAAAAGTACTGCTGTTTATACATCAAAATTTGTTCCTAAAATCTGCTATATAATCGCTTTCCAACAAATTTAAAGCATGGATTCCGTAGGAAAACTGAAACCCAAAATAAAAGAATTTCGTGCATATAATAATAATATAATATATAATAAATAATAAGGCTAATGGGTTATCTAGACAAGTATATAATCAAAGGGACTAATCTATCCCTTTAGATTACTTTACACTGCCTTGTCGACCACGTTGGCGATATTACTTTCCACGGCGTACTTGTAATGTTTAATCGGCGAATTTCGTCGCGTCATATTTCATAACGATAAGTAGAATGGACTTATGTGTCGAAGCGTATAAACAATTATTGTTGGATTATTATTGAATGAAACACTATGCCTACGAGTAGATCATGACGATACTTAAACGACCCCTTTGTTATTTATCGTTCGCGGGGAATTTTGCTAACCGACGAATGTGAAATGGATTCCTATCTCGTTATAAAAATGTATTACGATTCGACGAACCTGTTCAATAAAATAATACGTATTTTTAACGTCGATGTACAAGCGCGCCAAATTCGCCGCCGAGCTACATGCTCTCAACAAAACGTAACATAACTCAAGTGAACAACGACGTAGACAACTTTAGACGGCAAAAAAAGTCTTGTCTGTTCTCTGTCTGTGTTAAAATAGAGTTCAAATGAATACTTTTCAATGATTTATTTTTGATGTGCGCTGCTTCGGACAGGAATTTGGTCAAACATTTTAATGATAATCCATTTTTAAACTGGAACTTTTGGACTCGTTTTCACTAAGATTTGTCCTTTAGATAGTTTTTTTCAGTTTAAAATATTAAAATATTGTATAATTTATTGTTTTAAAATTGTACCCACCCATAGGTACTTCTTCAAACTATCCTGTAACCTTTTTTTATATAATTTTTGTTACGCTTTCAGTCCTTAGACTATTAAAGCTTCATCTAACGCAGAACCCGTGGGCTAGCCAGAACCCACGCGTTTGAGTTTTAGGCCTGCGATCTTGCTGATAGGCACTGTCAAGTAAAAAAAATGATGAATTTTAAAAACAGATGAAACGAGATAAAATTCGCGAAGCAGTTTTGTTTAAAATACAATTCAATAAAAAATGGTCAAAACGCAAGTAGTTAATATTTATCACAGACAGTTATTGAATCTATCTGTCAAGGACAAACAATGTCTTGAAATATCTCAAACAATGCGAAATGAAATAATCTTTAAAGAGACACTTGTTATTATATTGTAAAACCATTATGCATATTTCGCAACGAGTTAATTAAAAGATAAGCTGTATAGAAGTATGTTAGTTGTTTTTTTTTTTAATAATAATTTCATTAAAATTTTATATAAAGTTTGCTAATCCCATAAGATGAAACATTAAAATTTATAAAAAAAATGGATGAAATGTTTTTTCGCCATCGCGGGGTCGAATCCGCGCCTACTGATATCGCGCCCAGACGCTTTATTCACTAAGCTAAACGGTTGATTGCCATGCCGACAAAAATCTAGTACTTGTTTTTCGCATTTTAACTAATGCTTGACATGGTTCATGCATCTTCTATTATGTCCTTTACAGCACAGGAACAACCTCAAATAACTTTTTATAACGATAAATCTAAAGAGAGATGCGCCTTTGGTATTGAATTTTTTAAATTTAATATAAATTGTTTATTGTGCTAAACACGTGCAGCGTTTTAAACATTATAATTTGTAGAAAAATAGACGATTCCCGCGGCGGCCAAAACTTCTCGTCCATTGCTCTAAAAATTTTATTTATTATTTCAATTCATTTTAAATGCTCGCTCTGTAATGTTCTCGTGATATAAAACATTAAACAATTCATTAACATATATAAAAAAATACATAAAAGCCAAATTTATTGACGTGTAGCGGAAGCTTCTAAAGCACTTTTCGTGCTAATAAAAGCAAACGTGTTTTATTATTGCTTTTTTTTTAAATCGGAATGTTTTAATTAGTACCTACTTTGCAGGTTATCTGTAAACAGAATCCGTTTTTAAACGACTAGTATTTATTGGATGCTCATATTGTCAAAAATAGCATAAAGATTAAATTTTTAATCCATTTTATCAATTCCAAGGACATATAGTTTTCATTGTGTACGTGCTTTAATGAAACGGGAATCAATTGACTATAGAATTTTCACTCATTTCTCCATTGCATCAATGTCACGTTGCGATCATTTTACTAGGCTTATTGCATCCACCAGCCGTTGCGGGAAGCGTGACGTCGATGTTTTACCATGTTAGCTTTCGCCGATCTACGAGTATGTTCAGGGCTGACAATATTTATGAGCGGTCAACTGCCTCGCTGTTGCGGTTAGCTTTAGGTATATAGGATTGACGACCCGTTTGGCGTAGCGGATAGGGAACCTGTCTCTTGCGCCAAACGGTGCGGGTTCGATGCTTACTAATGGTAAATATTGTGTGATGAATATTCTACTTCTGTTAATAGTGTTTTTTTCTGGTTTCTGGGTATTTTCCATCCTCAGAATCGTTGAAGCACTTAAAACTAAAAATTAAGATGAAAAAAAGTTTTTATCAAACAATATAACTTCGTTTGAAGGTTCCCATAGTTTTGTTTAATATAGGGACAACAAACATAATGAATATTGAGGCGAAGACAAGACAGATAATTGAAAGTGCGTCAAATGAACTACCTGTGCCAATATCTTTACTCCTACCTGGGACGTTATCGGTAGCCGGTTTAGTTTTATCTTCCGGTTTCATGTTCCGAAACCGATCATTATAGTTACGTTACTTGAGAGTTTTTAAAATACAAAACGGTCACCTTAAATTCGTAAAAATATACGAATGACTTTTTTAATGTGAAGAGAATTGTTTATTATATTTAAAAAAAATACTGACCGTCACCCGTAAACTCGAAGTAATTGCGAAATTAATAATAACACAGATATTACGATAATAAGTAATACAATACGATACAATAGCAGCCTATTGCCGTCTACTGCTGAACGAAAGCCTCCCCAAAGCGCGTCAACGTAAAGATACAAATAAGTAATGACCACAAAAACATCCATTACTGAAAGATTAAAAAAAGGAGAAAACTTGCGGCTTTTGTGTGTATTACCTAAACGTTAGTTGTTTCAATCTTTAGAGTGAAATAAAATGGTGTTTACATTTCATTGTAATTTTTGTGTCCAATTAATGTTTATTTTGCATGCGTCACTTCGTAATTTAAAAAAAATGTCACAATCATGTTGCTCTTCAAAAAGAGAAACAAGATTATGACTATTCCAATCGAAACTCACGCGAATGCTCGCGACGTCCGATAAAAAATTGTTCAGCGTAGACATTGCGAGCCAGTTGTGATGCCAATTTATGAACGGTTGGGCCTTGGCAGGGATCGGGCTTGCTTTGATTAGTCAACAGTCAACGAGGTACTGGGCGCTGATTAGGATACTTAAGTACTTTTTATTTTATTACAATAACTTCTGTATAGGAGCAAGGCAAGGCGTGCGTACAAACAGGTTAAAGTGACGTCGCGAATTACTTAGCCATAAGTAACGTACGCATGTTCATACATGCGCCGCCCTGAGGAGGGCCTCAAACCCGTGGTTTTTGGCTAGCCCAACGGTTCTGCGTTCGATGAGGCTTTAATAGTCTAAGGACTGAAAGCGTAACATCAGTTATACAAAAACAAAATACAAAAGAATTACTTGACAATAGCTCTACTGTGGTAGGGCCTAGCAGCAAGTGCTGTTGCACGAATGAGCAGGCTCGTCCGGATCAGTAGTACAGCTTCACAGAAGACCAACGTGAAGTGGAAGTGTTATAGTTTCGCGTTTCGGACTGGTTCTCGTGATTGAGGCAAACTATGCCCGCTTTTTAAAGATAGCGAACGGACCTATAACATGAAACATCTCGAGTGCCCTATATGTTCATGGGTAACGGAACTAACATGAGGTAAACCGCCTGCTCGCTTAACAATTTTTAGCATGTAAAAGTATATATTTTACATTTCAATATCTAAACACAATTATATTTCTCGCATACAGCTTGGGGGTCCCGAGGAAACATGCTCGTTGTTTATCTTCAGGTCGTCAAGTGACCATCAAAACTTGGCAAGTCTTAAAAATGAAACGAATATTTTTACATATGTATTGCCATATCACCGATATAATTCAAAACGCGAAAAAAATTTAACGGCTTTGCGGCCAATGCCCTCGTTTAGATACGAGAAAGTAATCTTTAATAAGATTGTTTACATTTCATTGCGCTTGCCTGATAAGCGGAAAATATTGGGCTTTTCGCCACGCCAAATAGTTCATTCAAGTTTCTTTAACATTCCAGAATATGGATAACGCATGGATTGCGAAATAATGTGCGCGTTAAATCTCAATTGCGTACGAATAAAGCGCAATGTTTGTTCAATGGATCGCTCACAGTTCAAAATGATTGTTATTGCGTATATATTAATGATATTAATGGCAATCAATCTTAAGCAAAATCTC